AAGTACCACGACTTCATTCACACGCCCGCGCGTCTGAGGACGTGCGGTCTCATATTAGGCTGATGACGTATTAAGACGAGGATTTGCATCACAACGAATACCCGCGGTTCGTTCGTTCGTTTGTTTGTTTCTATGCGACAGGACGGCTCTGCCCCATCAAAGGTTCGAGAGGTCAGTTGCAGTACGATTTATCGTGGCCTCATACGACCAAGACCAGGATTCACAGAACGTCTCCTCCCTTTAAGAAACATGTTTTCTGGAATTCGACTTAATATTAATTCCACGTACAAAACTTTTGCATTTTTTCAAAATTTTCATGGTTGTCATAAAGCCTAATACTCGTAGCATATGGCGAAACACTTCATAGAGCAATGTTTTATACTGAAGTCGCGTAGAAAAACTCCAGAATCTAACAGGGCGCTTAGGTAGTCAAAATCCGCACACTTTATGGAATTCAAACGTTCATTACCGTGTTCACAACAGCGTCGTTAAGTAACGTAAAAATCATCAGTCATCACGTTTTCGAAATTAATGCCAAATTTACTAATCAAAGTACGAATCTACTTGCCAAAGCAAATCCTTTAAGACTTTGGCGAATTTGTGACTGCAGGCCCACAAATAATTTTAATTACTTCCTTGCTGCATAGAAGTAATTAGTAAGAATTAGAAATACAACGAATTTTAAAACACGCATTTCTATACTATTTCGAAATTGTAAATTTTTAATTTTATCAATAATTTTTTTTTTAAATTAAATTTTATTTGCTTAGGATTTCAAATTAGGCCCACAGAAATTAAGTTAATGCTGTGATGTGACTCAGGTAATAACAATGGAATGGCGTGGAAATCTTTCTTGTATAAAATTTACTCGTTAATTAATTTTAGACGACAAGATATTTCAACCTTCTGGTCATTTCACAACATTGGCTCCCTCAGGCTAGCTACAAACAATATTTTTCAAGCCCCGTCAGTCCACACGAGGCTTAAAAACAAAAATCGAGCGCATACATTTGCTAAACCAACAATGATCTAATAACAGCACGCCACTGCTCTGTACATAATGCCGACAGCACGCCACTGTACTCGATATTAAATTGCATGTGTTTCAGTGCTCGAACAGAACCAGAGGAAAGAGAATACAGGAGATCATCACAATCACCACCATCATCATCACCACCACAATGGTACCAACAACGCCAAGCAGAATAAGCAACGACGCAGTCGTACCAACTTCACACTGGAGCAACTTAACGAGCTGGAGAGGCTGTTCGACGAGACGCACTACCCGGACGCGTTCATGAGAGAGGAACTGAGCCAGAGGCTGGGACTCAGCGAAGCCAGAGTCCAGGTCAGTGGCCCCACACCTCACCGATTATTATGGCACCAGTGGGGGCACATACGAGTCACAATCACCCACACTGAACAACCGAAATTAATACGTATCGTTCGCGGGAACAAAAATAAATTTAATATCAAATCTAAAACTTCTTGACGATGGTGAAGAGTCAATTGAATAAAAATTTTCTTGGATATTATCCATCGTCTAGTAAAATATAAAACGTAAAACGACGTTTCGGAGATGGGACTCTATCTCCGTCTTCAGGTTCTGAAGAGTAATTTGAATAAAAATTTTCTTGGATATTATCCATCGTCTAGTAAATATAAAACGTAACACGACGTTTCGGAGATGGGACTCTATCTCCGTCTTCAGGTTCTGAAGAGTAATTTGTCGTTTTACGTTTTATATTTTAGTTACTAGACGATGGATAACATCCAAGAAAATTTTTATTCAATAAATTTAATGCTCGAAAGTTTGTAGGCCTGGCGTGGATCTTGGTTAAACGTTGTTTCTAATTATTCTCGACGCAGTGTTTCTCAAACCGAGGACCGCCGCCGATAGCCTACCATCTTGCAAGTATTCACATTTCTTATAGAGACCAGATAATATTTACCGAGCACAAGAGCATAAATTGTAACCTACGTTGCTAGGATATCCGATATGAAAGCCAAGATTTGAATCCGGGACTTTTCGAAAGCGAAGCAGGAACGACATTTGGTTAAGAAAAGGCATTGGTCTGCCCACACTCAAAATTAATTGTAGAAAAGCGAGTCATTTGGCACTACCCCATAGCATTTAGGACGAATTGCGAAAGAATCGGGGGTGGGAGATCGTGAACTGTTTCTTACAGTCTTCCTCCCCGTTGGAGAGAGCGTTCTTAGTCGGCGATGGTCTCTGATACTTTCATCACCAACCACTGACACCAGATGAAGGGGAGAGAAACATTGGCGACGCTACAGATTGATCCAATTAGTCCATCAGTAAACCTCGCCCCCAACCTTGTTTGACCGTGCTCCTTAACCCCAAGGATAAGTGCCAGAGAGTCAAGGAGTTTGGAAGCGTTCACGCTCAACCAACACCAAGCACAATACGCCTCAACGAGTGCTTCCTACGCTACTTTGCTTATTTACGAAGTAAGAGACGCCTAGGTCTATGATATCTAGTTGGTCCTTGGCCAGAACTCCACGACGCCTACTGTGTCGACGGCGAAAAAGATTCCACATGTGTACAGTAGGTAAAACTTAGTGTAAGCGTCGCAACGCCAGTTCCAAATCAAACAAAGAACAGCATCGAGACGCCATAAAACACGATACAAACAAAACCATCAACGAACGTCGAGAAGCCTACAAAAGATTCCACGTATGGAGTACACAAGATGCTGCATAACCAACGCCGAACAACGCCTCTTATGGCGACGTCTCCGAAAAATGCCACAATTATCGTATGTGAGCTGCTGGTTATTATTAGAAACAACTCCGGACAACTGACGCCGAGCGTCGCGACACTAACAACCTTTACATCGCATAAGCGCAATATCTGGAATAAATTAACCTCAGCATGCAATTTGAAACGATGTTCAAAAACCGACGCCAAGCGTCGCGATGCTTATCATAGAAATACATCCAAAACGCGCCACATTCAAAGAAGGACAGCCTTCACATGCTGTTAATACGACGTTAGAAAACAGACGCAGAGGATCGCGACGCTTCAAAAATGCGCCACATTTACCAATGCATGTAAACAGACGCCAATGAAAAGTTGGAAAATCGACGTACAGCGTCGCCACGTTAACCATCGCGAGGACCCCAGAAGTGACCACATTTAACCACGCAAATATTGAGATGTCATTTAAAAAAGTTGGAAAATCTACAACGCTCAAAGAAGATGAAATATTTTGCAGTAATGAAATTCAGAATGTCGAGAAACCGACGCCATGCATCAAGAGACCAACAAAAGACACTATATTTGGAACGCATGAACTCCATTGGAAACGATTTTGGGAAAGTGAAGCCAGCGTCGCGTCGCGTATTATAGCCACGAGCCGAAAAGACGCCAAAATTTACCACAGGTAAGGTCACAAATGCCATTAGGACGACCTTGGAAATCCGACGCCACTGGTCAAGACGCAGTCAAACCGCGCCACGTGTAGAATAGGAGTCTCGAGAATCGCCTGAAAGAGAAGTTGAAAAACCGACGCCAAGCGTCGCGACGTCTCAAAAAGGGACAATAATTATCAGGATAACCATCCAGATGCCATTAAAACGACGTTTTAAAACCGACTCAAAGCGTCGAGACGCAATGAAAAGAACACTAGAACTTCGGGATGCCATTCGAACAAATTTTTAAAAACCGACGCCAAGGTCTTTCGATGCCTATCAACGCGACGTGACAAAGAACGTAACATTTACCATAGGCAAGGCCGCAAATGCCATTGGAAATCCGACGCCATGCGTAGCGAAGCCAATCGTCGCACCAGAGCCAAAAAACGCCACGTGACTAGACGCCTCGGAAAACGAAGTTAGAAACCGTCGCCAATCACAGCGACGCCTTTAATGGCGTCATATTCATCCAGGCAACCTAATATTCAAAATGAGTAGAGACGCCAAACGCGAAATATAACTCATTAACTTCAGGATTCGAAGCGTCGCAACACCATTCATCGCAGCACCGTTCGTCGCAACACTGCCAAAGACGCCGTGTGATATGAGATACTACTGAAAATCAAGCTGGAAAACCGACACCAAAAACCGACGCAATGCTCCGCGACGCCAACGATAGTGACGCTACCAAAAGACGCAATATATTCCACCGGTTATCGCGAATGCTGTTAAAACTACGTTGGAAATACAAAGTGAAGCGTCGCAAATCAGACAAAGAACGCCACGTGTAACAGATGAGTAACGTGAAGGTTTAGAGCACGAAATTGGCAAACCGACGCCGAACGTTGAGACGCTATTAATCAGACAAAGAACGCCACGTGTAACAGGTGAGTAACGTGAAGCTTTAGAGCACGAAATTGGTAAAACGACGCCGAACGTTGAGACGCTATTCGTCGTAGAAGAGTCATAAGACGCCATATTTAGAGCAGGCGAGCCAAGGGATGACACCGGACACAACGATGGATAAATGACGCTGCAGCATGCTATCAGACACAAAGCTATAGTACCGACGATGTTCGTCGTTACGCTAAATGAAGAAGGATTGTTTGAAATAAATTAACAACAGCGATGCCATCGGACACATAGTTCAAAGCGACGCCGAGCGCAACATACACCTCAGAACTCAATCGGATGAACTTTGTAAAACCGACGCCGAGAGTCGAGACGCCATACGTCGCGAGGATCTGACAAGACCCCTATTCTGACGCAAATAAACATCGAGATGTCATTATACGCAATTTTTAAAAAACCGAAGCCTCCAAAAGCGCAATATTTGAAGCACAAAATCAGAATTCAATCAGACCAGCTTTGGAAAAACGACGCCGAGCATAGCGACATCGTCCGTCGCGACGTCTCTAAAAGACGCCATAGCTCCACGCTTAAAGTTCAGAATGTTATAGGACATTTTTAGAAAATCGACGCCGACCGTCGCGAGGCCTCCAAAAGACGCCATTATTGTATGCATAAACCTAAAATCGCTACGGTCCCCTCTTTGGAAAAAAGACGCCATGCGTCGGATCGCCGTCCGTCGCGACGCCTCCAACAGACGCCATTGTTGCGCGCATGAACCTCAAAAAGCATTAGGAACTTACTTGGAAAACCTACGCCGAGCGTCACGACGAATCCAAAAGACTTTATAGTTACATGGTTAAGGTTTCAGAACATTATGAGAGCAACTTTGGAAAAACGACACCAAGCGTCGGGACGCCGACCGTCGCGACGCATCCAAAGGACGCCATTATTGAACGCGCATAACTCAAAATGCGATAAGACCTTCTTTGGAAAATCGACGCCGAGCGTCGCGACGCCGTCCGTCGCGACGCATCCTGAAGACTCCATAGTTGCACGCTTAAAGTTCAGAATGTCATAGGAGCAACTTTGGAAAAACGACGCCAAGCGTCGAGACGCCGGACGTCGCGACGCATCCAGAATACTCCATAGTTGCACGCTTAAAGTTTAGAATGTCATAGGAGCAACTTTGGAAAAACGACGCCATGCGTCGGGACGCCGTCCGTCGCGACTCCTCCTAAGGACGCCACATTTGTACGCATACACCTAGGAACGCAATAGGGCCATCTTCGAAAAACCGACGCCGAGCGTCGAGACAATGTTGAAATCGGTGCCAAGTGTCACGACGCCTCCACACTACGCCGAACTACCTACAACCTAACCTAACCCAACCTAACCTAACCCAACAATGTCTGACAACCTAACCTAACCTAACCAAACCAAACCCAACCTAACCTAACCTAACCTAACCTAACCGAACCTAACCTAACCTAACTCAACCTAACCTAACCCAACCTAACGCAATCGAACTTAACATTATCTTAGCTCAACTAGACAAACTCGCTTATCTCGCACAAGTCGCCCGAGTCTCATAAATCATTCAGGTCAGGACTGCACAAGTGGTCACGGTCGATTTTACACCAAGATCGCTTTGGTCGCCCAGGTCGCCACGGTGGCTCTCGCAGTAGCACTTCGATCATTCTGCTACTATTCAGTGAGTCGGTTCGTACCGCAAAGAAAACAAAACACTACACCATTACGTAGATCAGTTTGTTAACGCTCTTTCAGGAAATGATCGCTGTTTACACTGAGAATTATAAGAAAGACAGAGAAACGCAAATGGCACACAGGATTAATTTACATCGTAACTGACCACCTAGTGAAGCAATGTCTGTCCCTGGTCGTAAAACGCTTATATTCCGAAGCTAAGTTTACGTAAACAGAAAAGTCTGTGAAAACAAATGCTGATTTAGCAATTTCAAAAATAATCACTTATCAGCCTTAATTATAACAATGAAATACGTTTTCTATTGAATTGCAGTTTTGTGGTTTTGTGATTTAAAATCAGTGTTGAGCGGGGTAGTCTATGTAGCAATTTAATTGTAAGTAATTCTCATTTGTGTCTGCCAGGTTTGGTTCCAGAACAGACGAGCGAAGTGCAGAAAACATGAGAGTCAGATGCAAAAAGGTGAGTGTGGGTTTTTTCTGAATTAATACGAGAACGCTGGGGTCTCGGGTTCGATTCCCGGCGGTGCCCGAATTTATAACTTGTGTTGGGCAAGGCCGTGGTCTGGGCAACACGGAGTTTTCCTCCGTGTCATCCCAACAATTACTCCATTCACACACAGAAGAAGGCAATGGCAAACCACTTCTGGATTATCTGCCAAGAACGTATATGAACAGGTCCCAGTCCGAGAAAAGGATGGAAGGATCCTGTTCATATGGACCTGTCGTCAGACAGAACACTAAATAATTAATTGATTGACAGAACACTAATAATAAAATAATAAATAAATACGAGAATAATCACACACGAGAGGGACAAGAAATATACATAAACATTTTTTTTGCAAGAAAATCAGAGTAGACCTAATCGTGGATGGGGAGGCACCTAGGAATAAGTTTGATTTTAAATCCTTAAAGACTGCATCTTTGAAATCATTGCACCTGAACGCAACTTATGTGACTGATTGGTCGCTCAGCCAAGAAATCAAACTGACACAATTTTTGTTATAACAATTCGTATCTGCATGAGCGGTTCGAAGGATGGATTTACCCGCTTGTTACATTGACGGCTCCAATTAGATTTCTCTCAGTTCCCAAGAGGGTCGTTCAAAGCCCAGCAAAATTGATGACGGCCTTGGAATCCGCAAGGGGGCAATTCCGCCGACACTTTTCAGTCGTTTAAATCTGATTCACATACACCAGCAGCCTTTAAATTCGATTAAAGTTATTTAGCAGCATGAGATGGGGCACGTTACTTACTGTAATCAAATGTGGGCCTGACACAGCGACGCCATCTCGTGGTAGTGTGTGAAGTTATTCCTCGCTATATCACGGCTGTTTCCGTTCGTTTATGATCCAGCACATTGAAGGAAATTGATGCGTTCCTCGGGCATTATTTTCAGTGGGAATGCGTGCAAAATGATCTTCAAATTTCTTTTCGCATATTTTCCATCAATAACTTCCTAGTCTCTTTACCAATTGTAGGGGGAGCTGAGAAATGCGTAAAAAGTTTAGCTAGGAAACCCTAAGGGAAGAAAGAGACCGCTCGGGAAGATGGAAGGATTGTAATATAATGGAACTTAAAGACACATAGTAGGAGTAGGAGTATTGGATTAATCTGGCACGGGAGAGGGCTAGGCTATGAACCTTCTGGCTTCATAAAATTTACAGAATTTAACGATCAGATTAACCTCCACTTCTGGGCACGAGAATTAATGAGAAATCTCATAACATTTATGTTTACGTAAGAAGCGCCTATATATTATAATAATACAAATAAATCTTTTCTCAAATGTTATATTAGTTCTCTGTTATTAAGAAGAGTGTAACACAGAACGCAAATAAGGTCCATTGTTTAGGAGAGCAACCTGATTAAGGAACCAAATGCGGTCATCAGTGTCCACACAGGAGAAAACAGTGGTTAATGCTCACGATACGGGGGGGGGTTACGATATCAACGCGATCTGACGACCAAATTATTTTTATTTCGATTATACGAACAACGTCGTCTGCCAATTGAATTTTATCTGTTTGCAAAATCAACTACAAATAAAAACCCAAATTTAAATTGTTAATATTATATTATTACAACACTACCATCTGCCCTAAAAATACAGATATTATTTAAAGTTGTAAACAGTTCGCTATTTAACTAACTTCCTGGGAAACAAGTAAATAAAATATTATATAAATACCCTAAAAGTTATCACATTTATGCAAAGGGCACGATATAAATTTTAAAAAAATACAGACTAGAAACAACTGTTTACACAATCGATATAATTTATGGAACTTAAAATTTAATTTAAATGTATGAAACTTGTTTAATGAACACCATTATTCACACAATAATAATTTCTATGCGCTGAATTTATCCATTGAGCAGACTGGATAGAAATCAGACTATTGTAATTTCTCATTATATTTAAAATATGACTGAAGATCATTAATTATGCTTCAAAACTGGATTAAATTACACGATGAAAAACTTCCTTAAGGTCATGACGATCACCGTCCTGACGATGGTGGCAGCAAGCACCTCTAAAGCCACCAGACTACACGGCGAAAAAACCCAGACGACAGACTTCCTCATCCGGGTTAACTTTTGTGCCTCACTGTACGTCGGGGATTTAAATAATCCCACATGACATTCCTCAACATGACCGTGGAGAACAGAAATATAGACGACATTTCAGTCGACAAAATGAAAAGAGGAAAGGTTTAAAATATCGAGGGGAATTTTTCTGATTGAGACCACCATTGAGCCACCCCCTGTACGCACAGTACCATCAGCCAGCGCGCGCACACACACACACACACGTTAGTACAAGGGGTTCACGAAACATACTCACACGTTCAACATGACACAGGACCTTTAAAACTGATTGAAAATAAACTTGGAGAAATTAAAAATAGGATAAAGGACGTACGAGGTGCGATCGGAAAGTTTCAAGACTGTATCAATAGAGGGCGAACCGGATGTAATACGAGCTTCTGCCGCTAGGGGGTGCGGCCTACATTCATAGTGAATCAGTGTGCCAGCCGGCATCATCGAATTAGCATTTGTTTCTTAGTTACGGGCGTTTTGGTAGTGCATTACACCGACCCTCCTGCGATTTCGGAATGGCGGATTTTCATGAACAAATCAAATTTTGCCAAAGACTCGCCAAAACGGCTACGGAAACCTATGAAATCCTAAAGCAAGCATTTGGGGAGTCCGCAATGGGTCGTGCACAAACGTTTGTGTGGCATTCACGTTTTAAAAATGACCGAACCTCTGTCGATGATG